GTCATGCAGAAATCCAGCCCAATACAGCTCTATACAGCTCTATATCATTTCTTACCATTCTCGCACAGTGTTGCCTCAAGGCAACGTACTCCAAAAGGGACCCCTTGTTTTCAAATGTTTTTGAATTTAATAATCAGGTCCGAAAAAATAAATCAAGGACCATTTTATGCTAGAAAAGTGAATTGATTTTTTTTTAAATTGCTCTCATAATGTGTGCAGAAAAGGGTTAAGTAAAATTATCTCACTGTAGTGGCAGATAATTTTGCTTGTCTCACCTTTCTTAATAAAATTACTAAAAACCAGGAAAGAAAATGAGGTAAATAATCTTTAATTGAGTTTAAAACAATCTCAAAAGGAGAAATATTAGATTTACTGTCTATATTTAAGATCATTTTACTTGACAAGACACAATTTTTTGCAGTGTAGGCCTTCTATTCTCTGAAGCCCTAGACCAGGAGTGTCAAACTCAACCACTAAATTGGCCATTTTAACAAATCTCAACAAATCTGTTGACCAGAGAAAAAAAAATGTATTTTATTTTTTAACAAAGTTGTGCTTCAACCCGAACTGGACATTGTTTATTCAAAATACGCAAAAACTTCAGCAGTAAAATACAGGCACTTGGTGTAGACCTTGAAATATTACATCAATATTGAAATACTCATAATGTAAATGTCGCCAGGAGCTCAGTCTTTTAAACCTGCCTATATGTTTGAACTAAACACCTGGAATCATTTCTTTACTGCAGGTTCTGTTTCTGAGCTGCTGAGCTGACGTTCAGTGTTTATGTTGGTTGAACTGCAGCTGAAACACAGTTAGTGTGTTTGGTGATTTGACTGATGTGGAATTGTGTAGACGTTTGTAGAACTGAGGTGTAACTGCTGTCCCATAGATTATTGTTGGGGTAGGACCATAGATATCCATACCTAGATGCTACGTTGTCTGTTGTTCTCTATCTGAGGTGATACGTCTGCGCGTCCACCATGTTGGAGAGGTCAAGATCCGCTTGTGAACAAATTCACTTGTATTGAGAGGCGAAGAGTCTCAGGATTAACAACTCCTCTCTGTAGCTTTTATTACTTTAATAACTGATTGTGCTAATTGGCCGTCCGAGTTTAGAGCGAGTGAGAAGGACAAAGCTGAAGCTGGCCTCCTATTCGCCAGCTTCTTGTTCGAATTTTCCTGTTCCACCTTAAATGGTGCAGCAGTCACTTTCTGGTGCCAGAAGCTGCACCATTTAAGGTGGAACAGGAAAATTTGGACAGTATCTTTCTTAACCTGCCGCTCTGGAAAGGTACTGAATGCAGTCCAGCAGCGATGTTGACCTCCCCAAAATGGTGGCGCTGTTGACGTGCATGAATGGACCCAATGCGGCATCTAGGTATGTATATCTATGGGTAGGACAGTCAGAGCGCACATTACGTTGCAGTGCATGCTGGGGGCTGTAGTGCAGCTCATTGTGAAATGTTCTAATATTGACGGAAAATTAAAATACTCCTGTGGGCCAGATAGGATTGTGTTGTGGGCCTGATTTGGCCCGTGGTCCTTGTTTTTGACATATGGGGCCTAGACGAGGATTTTTTGGTTTATGTCAGTGTTACGTAGCAGGGTTTAAGTAAAGTGTTCCTGCTAGTTGATCTTAGCAACAGCAGGCTGTTTATTTACTGAGGTTTAGCCCTGATCCTTGTGTTTGGCGTGTGTTTATACTGTATGTCCTCCTGGAATGTAATTCAACTGCGCTGTTGTGTAAGTGTATTTCTATTGACAAACACATTCTGCAGTGCAGAAATACAGCTTTAGGCTGTGTATAAGTGACCTACTGCCCTCTTCTGGAGGAATTATGGTATTTCATTGAGAAATACCTTCCTATTCTAGAACAACACTGCGAAGCCCAGGCAGAGCTGCAGATATTCATCGGTGTCAAGGTGACACTCTTCGTTATGTGGTCTGTTAAGCTGTGAAATCTTCTTAAATAATCCCTGAATTAAGTGTCCCTAAGTAGGCCTGACGTGACCGCAGTCATACTAATCTGCCCAATCACAGGACAAACTCATAAGAGGCTTTTTTGCTGCATAAGAATGTCAGGAATTGGTGGATGTCCAGGTTCTAAGCTTTAGTCCAGGCTGGCAGCTCCAGTTTCATGGCTCTCTACAGTGTGACCTCATTCCTTCTGTGACAGAATTAGTAACTTAAATACAGTCGATACCTCTAATATTTCTCATGCTGAGATTGTTGAAAGCTTATTATAAGTTTGTTTGATGTATTTCTCATCATTTCTTACCATTTTGTCAAGTAAAATGAGCTCACTATGCTGGCAGATAACTTTGCTTATTGTCAGAAACATGCTCTAAATGACCTGCCAATACAGTGAGGTGATTTTATTTGATTTACAATTACTTAAAACAATGACTAGAAATAAGTGACATAATCTTCATAGTCTAATGTTCCTTCAACCATCTCACATTTTGAAATGTGATATAGATATATTGATATATTGGATATATTAGATATATTGACTCAAAATAATATAATTTCACTTGACCGGTTACAAAACTGATAGAAAGTGAGCTCACACTCTCTATACACTGCAAAAATGTTGTCAAGTAAAATTAGCTTAAATATAGTCAATAAATCTAATATTTCTCCTGTTGAGATCGTTGTACGCTTAATTTAAGATTAACTACCTAATTTCTAGATATTTTTACTTGTTTTAAGTAATTGTAAGTTAAATAAAATGAGCTTGAAACCAGCAAAATTATCGGCCAGTATGGTGAGATAATTTTACTTTATAATGTTACTGGAAACAAGTGAAAATGTCTAGAAATAAGCTGGATAATCTTATAAACAGTGCACAACCATGTCAAAATGGGAAATATTAGATATATCGACTAGATTTAAGATCAGTTCACTTGACGAGATGCCGTTTGTTGCAGTGTACCTGTTTGCTAAGGTAGCTCCACAGCTGTGAGCTTCAGAGAACTGTATTCACAGCTCAATGTCTCTCCAGCATTTGGCACAAAGGTATGAAATCACTGCACCATGTAACCCCCTCCTGACACCCTCTCCCTTCAGGAGGACAAGGCTCAGGTCAGGCAGAACAACTTCACAGTGTCTGTTTGGACACTTACAGGGCAAGTCTACCAATTTTTCATAATTTCTGCATGACTAAATGGTTCTAGAGAAACGGAATTACTAAGACGACGTGTCCCGTAAGCAGAAGTGGAACTGGAGCTGTCAAACAGCTGTGGTTATTATTATTACATTATGGACATTTCTGCCTTCATGCCCACTTTCTCATAACCCACAATCTATTTTTGCATTGTTTACTTCTTTTTTACTGTATGTGTGTGTGTGTTGGGGGGGGGGGCACGTGTGTGAAAAACCCTGATAAGTGTCTTTCACTGGAATACTGAACCAATAATGAGTAATAATATTCCACACAGCGCTCTGTACTGCAGGCAGAGCTTCATGAAGGCAGACGAAACAGAGAAGATCAAAACTTAGCAGAACTTACAGAGGAACTCCACCAACTTTTCAAAATTCCTGCCTAATTAAACAGTTAAGAGGTAAACAGAGTGGTTCAGAGTGGTTTGGTGAGTCAGAACTGTTCACAGTGGTGGTGATAGGAACCAGACGTCCACCTCTAAAAGCTCCCTCACAGAAAGTTACTACATGAGGTGGTTATGAATTCCCTGCCTGATGACTGAGACACTGTTTTATGATAGTTTTGAGAAGATTTGTGGCCTAAACTCCATTCATGGTGGAGGGATACATAACATGCAGGGTGAGTCAAAATAGTCCCCAAAGAAAACTTATTATTTCAGATGTTCCACTATTGTACCACCATATAAAAACTATAAAGACAAGCGTGGTTTCTTGCTGCAGTCATGGCGACCCCTGGTTCCTATCACCACCACTGTAAAAACATCTGAACCATTTCACACCAAACCACTCTGAATCTCTCTGATTACACCTCATCAACTGAACTATGCAGGAATTTTGAAACATTGGTGGAATTCCCCTTTTTTTGTTTTGATTATAAGGTAGTAATTCTAAAGCTTAAGTCTAATGTTTTTTATGTTGTTGATGTTGTTGTTGTTGTTGTCGTGTTTTTGTTAAGAGCACTCTCAGACAAAACTCCCAACCACTTGACTCTGAATTCGACTTTCATAAACAGTGTAGGTTATAATTCCAACAAATTCACTGAATACCGAATCCTAAATTCCATCACTGAACATCACTGGAGTGACACAGGCTCTTCAGAACACACCAGCAGTCTTCTTCTCCTCCCCTTTGCCTTTATTCCTCTCTTTTGTTTGGTTTTGATACAACTCTTACTTATTCACACATGCAGCAAAAAAGGGAACAATTACAATCAGCTTCTCATCCGTAACAGTTTCACGCTCTGTACATGTCCGTTTATGGTTACTTCAGATGTTAAACAGAAGTAAACTGACCATACAGAGACAAAACAACATAAATAACATCTGGATGTATCTGGATACTTTGAGAATCGTGGCATAAAAGAGCATCAAAGGGCCCATAACTTTATTTTTTTCTACTGAGGTCCATTTATAACATTAGTGTGGTTTCATGCGTCAAAAACAGCCATAATTCATTTGTTCTTGACCATTTTCTAACCTCTCTCATCCCTCAGAATTAAACTGGCTGTTTTTGTTACTGTGCCACTCCTAATAACCTCAGTGTGAGTGGGCGGGGCTAAACAGCTATGGGCTGGATAGGTGAATGTATGTAAATAAATGTGTCAGTGTTTTGTGACATCACAAAAATAAAGCAGCTCACTTTCCATATATAGACAGTACAGACTGAGAAGGGAATGGTACGACCGGACAGCTACCTCAAACTCTTTTATTTCAGTACAGCTTTCCATGATATGGGCCCTTTAAAGGTCTACAGTCTACAGTTTCTTCAGAAACGGATGCAAAACAGCACCTCTAACTTCTAACTCTGTTCTTAGGCCGCCTCGTCAGCTCAGGAGCTTATTTCTGGCCTGAAAAGTGCTTGTTGAGGATTCCCTTGGCCGTGTCCAGCGCCGTGTCGGCAGGCACCGGGATATGAGGGGCGATTCCGGTCCCCTCCCAGGCGAAACCCTGGACCGTATATGAGTGGGTGGTAGGGATGGCCAGGAAGATGTCGCTGTCACCGACTTGGAAAGGCTTCGGGGGCTGGCAGGAGCCGCTGGTCGGCTCGCCCACGATCATGGCGCGGCCGAGATTCTTCATGATGTAAACAAATTCCTCGGCCGCACCGGCCGTCGCGCCGCTCGTCAGAATCAGCAGGCTCTTCTTGGAGCCGTATCTCCTGCCTGTGCAGAGAGCAGCATGGTTAGATTTGTGCTGAAGGGATTATTGCAACATCAGTTACCCCTGTGTGGTGTTCAGGTCTAATGTTTACCAAAATAAAAAAATATGTGATTTATTATTATTTCAGCCTCAGATTCTTGTCCTGTGTCTATTTTCTGTGAAGAACATATAAAATAATCCATTTTCAGTGTCTTCACTCTGTTCACCCCCCACACATTTATATTACACATGTGGTGTTGGGCTGAACCCACAGGGAGTAAAAGTGTGGAGGTGCTGTGTCCTTCACTCTGTTCTCCTCCTACATGGCCTGCTGTTAGTGTGTGTGTGTGTGTGTGTGTGTGTGTGTGTGTGTGAGGGTGGACAACATGGACAGGCTGCTGACTGGCTACAGCTGCTAAAGGAGAACCCTACGCTGGACACTTGTGATATTTTAAACATCTGGTATTTTTACATAAATTGTTTTGACTGTATTGATTTAAAGAACAATAATGTGGTGGGTCCAGCAGACCACTGAGCAACACACACATCAACACCACACAAGGGTTAAAGGCCCCTTAATATTGAAAACTTTCATTGGTTTTCTTTTTTAATTAAAGGGTTAAAACTAGCATGTAAACAGCATCTCAGAATGTACCATTCACTCCTAAGTCTAAAAATGAGCTGCAAAAATGGACCATTTTTCATTCTTTGTTTTTGAAACGTCAAAAAACAGAACAGTCACATATGTGGACTGAATCAGCTGAAACTCAGGTCTCTCTGTAAAAAACACTCTTTAAAAAACAACGAAGTATTCAGACCATAGATATTTACAAGGATTATGTTCTGATCTATTTAATCCCAAAGCATTAATAGAGATAGTGATAAGTTAAATATATACAAAATCATCATTGGGAGGAGTCTGTCCCAAACACTAACCCTTAAATTCACACTTGTGAAAATAACACTTAAAATGTATTTGTATTTTTTTTCATTGTTGTTCTTTTATTGAAGATCTGTTCGTTTTCTTTTAAAGTTGATTTAGATTTGTCATCAGTTTAATTTTTCAATGAAAATGCTGTCCCACATTTTTTTTTATGTCACTTCAGAAACACAGAGTTTCAGTCAGTGGGTGGAGCCTTATTTTAGCCCCACCCCTGCACTTAGAGCAGGAAGTGAGGCTGCATCCCTGCCCCTCATGGCCACATGGTGAGCAGTTAGATCCCATTGTTTTGAAGTAAATGTGTCCCAAAGTCTGAAAATCAGTGTGGAACATTAAGAATCGCCATATTTTCTGCAGTTCAGCACTTTTTAGTGTTTTAATGTAAAATATGATGATTTTCTGTGTGAACAGCTGTTCAAAGCTGTGTTTCTTATCATGTTCTGGCTGAGATTCTGAGCTAAATGAGCTAAAATTGTCACTGAAACAGTCACTACTGACACATCTGGTACAGTTTGGTGGAGTTATGATCGTTTTGGAATGTTCAATCATTAGTTTTAATAAAATAATCATAATTAAGGTTCAGAGTCACTCAGAAAAGGATTTTAGTCTAAAGTCCAAGATCAGTTAAAAGTCCCAAATGAGTTTCGGTTCTGACTCTGGACCAGTTCAGTAGAATCATCCATAAATCTGAATATTCAGCCTATAGCAGTTTAGCTCCGCCCATTCACACTGAATCTATGAGTGTTTCAGCCAATGCGGCAGCCAATCAGATCAGAGCTCATTTTCATATATGAGTCTTAAAGGCTCAGTAACACAGCCTGCTTCATTCTAAGGGATAAAGTGTGGTTTGAAATGTTTATGCAGAAAAAGAATTAAGACTTTATTTGGTATATAAATGTTATAAGTGGAGCTCGGGGAGTGACATGAGAGCGAGCTGTTCATACAGGCTCTTTAAACGTAAGGTGTGCGCATTACCTGTCAGCTCCTGAAGGGTGACGAGGTCTTTCATGGTGCCTGAGGGTCTGTCGTACAGTTTGTCCAGCACAATCTCCCTGTCTGCATCAAAGAAGTAGGAGCAGAATCCGGCAATCGGGTTTATAGACCCTCCAGCGTTGTTCCTTCAAAACAATCAAACATCAATGAAACTCAATTTAAACAATGTTGGTTAAATATATTTTAACATTTTTGGACACCAGATGAACATGAAGGGCACACTGCAAAAAAGTCTCTTGTCAAGTGAAATGATATTCAATCTAGTTGATATACCTAATATTTCCCATGTTGAGATGGTTGTGCACTTATTATAAGATTATCTGTCTTATTTCTATTTTTCTATATTTCACTTGCTTTCAGTAATTTTATGAAGTTACATTATCTCAGTATTCTGGCAGATAATTTTGCTGGTTTCAAGCACATTTCTCACAACAAGCACAATTATATGCTTAATAAATTTTACTTAAAACAAGTAAAAAATGTCAAGAAATGAGGTAAACAATCTTAGATTAAGCTCACAGCAATCACAACAGGAGAAATATTACATTTATTGTCTATATTTAACATAATTTTACTTGACAAGATATTATTATTTGAGTAGAGACTCAATCTGGTTACATTAAAATTATTTTAAACAGCTGACTGTAACTTTAAAGGGCTTATATTCTATATTTTTCATGAATTTTGTTTTTTTGAGATCTGCTTATATGCTGCCAAATCTAAAATCATCTTAAATCTAACTAATATATCTAATATTTCTCATTTTGAGACTGTTGTAAACTAATACACAGCACATTCTCCATCAGTCTGAAGAACATGTTCATGATGCGAAGAACCCTTTAATCATGCAAAGGGTTCTAGAAGTGTTTATGGTTCTATATAGAACCATTTTCTTCACTAAACAAAGATTATTTAACTTATTTCTTGACATTTTTTGCCTGTTTTAATTGATTTTAATAAGTGAAATTATCTCACTATACTGTGAGGTAAGTTTGCTTGTTGTAAGAAATCTGCTCATGTTATCTGCCAATCTAGTGAGATCATTTGATTACTAAAATAAAAAAAATAAGTTATAAGTTATAAGATATACATTAATAATTTATAATAAGCTCACAACAATCTCAAAATGAGAAGTATGAGATATATTAGCCGGATTTAAGATGATTTCAGTGGTCAAAATACCATTTTTCGCACAATTCATGGTTAATAAAAAAGTCATAATTAATTTTTACATGGCCTTTATTTATGCCATAGAATTAAACAGGCTGTATTTGTTACTGTCCCTTTAAGGCTGATATACGTAAATGAGCTCTGGTTTGATTGGCTGCCTGGTTCAAAAAGCAGTCCAGACTAAAACACTCCTTATAACTTCAGTGTGAAAAGACGAGGCCTATAAAGGGATCCTTAAACAGATATCTGTATATATGAATAGGTTTTGTGACATCACAAAAACGAGGATTGTAAAACAGCAGGTACGTGCTAAAACTTTAGCCCCGTATTCATGCTACATCAAACTCAGCGTTTTTTAAACTGTGTATCAAAAAAGTGAAGGGAAGCTTGTTTTTCCATGGTATGGGCCCTTTAATTCAAGAGGCCTACTGTACGGCTAGAACACCAGCCCTGTGAGGACTTACCTGAGGTCAATGATCAGGGCATCTGTGTCCACCACTTTGTTCCAAACTTGCTCCACAATGATCTGAGCCACAACAGCGATTTGGTTGAACTCCCCAAACATGTCAAAACGGAGGTAGCCGATGTTGTTCTCGAACACGTCGGTTTGAAACGAGACTTTGATGAGCTCAATCAGCATCTCTGGTGAAGCGTCCTGGAGGAGAGGAGCCATTTAATATATATATATATATATATATATCAAAATGTATAAGAATGTACACCGATCAGGCATAACATTCTGACCACCTCCTTGTTTCTACGCTCATTGTCCATTTTATCAGCTCCACTTACTATATAGGTGCACTTTGTAGTTCTACAGTTACAGACTGTAGTCCATCTGTTTCTCTGATACTTTGTTAGCCCCCTTTTACCCTGTTCTTCAGTGGTCAGGACCTCCATGGACCCTCACAGAGCAGGTACTATTTGGGTGGTGGATCATTCTCAGCACTGCAGTAACACTGACGTGGTGGTGGTGTGTTGGTGTGTGTGGCGCTGGTATGAGTGGATCAGACACAGCAGTGCTGCTGGAGTTTTTAAACACTGTGTCCACTCACTGTCCACTCTATTAGACACTCCTACCTTGTCAGTCCACCTTCTAGATGTAAAGTCAGAGGCGATAGCTCATCTGCTGCTGCACAGTTTGTGTTGGTCATCCTCTAGTCCTTCATCAGTGGTCACAGGATGCTGCCCACAGGACGCTGTTGGCTGGATATTTTTGGTTGGTGGACTATTCTCAGTCCAGCAGTGACACTGAGGTGTTTAAAAACTCCAGCAGCACTGCTGTGTCTGATCCACTCAGACCAGCGCAACACACACTAACACACCACCACCACGTCAGTGTTAATCAAGTCCACACACTTACAACAGATGGTTCTTCAAGGGTTCTTTAGTAAAGAAAATGGTTCTATATAGAACCATGAACACTTAACCATTTACATGATTAAAGGGTCTTTGAATTGTGAAATTGTTCTTCAGATTGATGGAGAATGCGATTTAGATGGTTCTATAGAGAACATTTTTGAAAAGGGTTCTGTATAGCACCAGAAAGGGTTCTGCTATATAACAAAAAGCTTGTGACAAAAGAAGAACCCTTCTTGGTGCTATATAGAACCCTTTTCAAAAAGCTTCTGTATAGAACCATCTAAATCGCATTCTCCATCAATCTGAAGAGCCTTTTAATCATGCAAAGGGTTCTCTGTCCATTCATGGTCCTATATAGAACCATTTTCTTTGCTAAAGAACCCTTGAAGAACCATCTTATTTAAGAGCATAGGAATAAGTTAAGTATTCTTATAATATTCTTTATTATATTAGAAATATCAACTAGATTTAAGATAATTTAGCTTACTAAGATATATTTTTTTAATAGTGTAGCAAAAAAGAGGCACTACATAGTACCACATTAAAGGAACTCATTTTGGTCCTACATAGAACCAACTTTTAAAACCATTTCAAACAACAGCTGCAACACAGAATAGAACCATTTAACCATGTCAAGAACCATTTATGCATTCAGATGGTTCTTTGAGCTGTCACGCTTATATGAATAACCATTGCTTTTACTTAAGAACCCTTAAAGAACCGTTGTTTTTAAAAAATGTGTGTCTCTTGATGATTACAATAACTGTATACCTTTAGAAAAGGGGGTTCTTCAGTACAGGTAATGGTTATATAGAAGCATGTCTTGAAAGTATAAATGGTTCTTTTCATGATTAAACGGAGTTGTGTATGGTTCTCTAAAGAACTTTTACAAAGTGGTTCCATGGAGCACCAAAAAGGATTCCACTATTATTACAAGCCATAGAACCTTGAATCCTTTTTGATAAGGTTGTGTATTAATGGTTCAAAGTAGGAACACTGTTCTAAATAAAGATGGTTCTTTGGAGCCATGGAAACCAAACTCACAACACATGGGGATATAGCAAAAATGTGAACCAGTTTGAGAACCAAAAACTATTGTAAAGAACTATTTTGTGGTGTGAAGAACTTTTTTAACATTTAAAGGTTTTATACCAATTTAAAGATTTTTCTAGAACCATGTACCCAAGCTGAGGAACACTTAAGAACCTTTACTTTTGAGAGTGAAATACTGAATTCTCACCGTTGGAAGCATCATAGGAGAGCTGTCAGTGATCTTCAGGCAATCGTCCCCTGACAATTTTGCGAGATCAGCCGAGAGTTTTTCCTTCAGTTGTTTCTTCGAGGAAATCATGCTGTACTCGCTGCTGTTCGCGAGAGCCTCTAGTTTTTCAGCGACGTCGACCGCGATGCTTTGGAAGGCATAATTTTCAGCAACCAGAGAAGCAGCAGCCTTGACAATCTCAGGGATCTCAGCACGAAGCTTGATGATGGCTATGGCGGCATCCATGGCCTCTTCTGCGTCGACTTCAACGTCTGGCGTTACTCCTTTGACTTCCCAGCTCTTGCCGGTGATGGGGCTGATGGATTTAGCTACGGGAACCGAGACGTAGAAGTCAGTATCACCGACCTTGATCTTGTCAATCTTCACCGATCCTCCAGCGGTCTTCTCCCCCACGATGGTAGCTCTTTTGAGATTTTTAAGGCTGTAGGCGACGTCTTCCGCAACACCAACGGTATTCTTGCTGGTCAGGATGATCAAGGGCTTGGAGGTTCCATACCTTTTTCCCAGCAAGGTGGGCATGGACCAGAGCTCGGTGGTATTATCTGAGGGACGATCATAGATGGAGTCGATATGGATGAGTGGCTCAGCATCAGTGTAATAGGACACAATGTAAGGGATGCCGGACATCTCCCCAGTGACCGCGTAGCGAAGGTCCAGGATCATCGCAGAGGTCGGGAGAACTTTACTCCAGACATGCTCCAGCAGAAGTGGTCCGATCTTCTGAGCCATCTCCTCCCCGATAATGTGCTGGATCTTCAGGTAGGCAATGTCGTCCTCCAGGACCTCTACGTTTACGGTGCCCTTCACCACAGCGGCCAGTTGCTCCGGTGGGATGTCAGGAATTGCTGGCGGTACCACCGGGACGTAATCTGGCTCATAGGTGACCTTAACTCTGGAGTCTCGGAGCGTACTCTTAACTCCGTCGGTCAGCACGCTCGCAAGCATAGTGGGATCTTCGATGCCAAGGATCTCCGTGTTGCTGCTGGCAGCATCGATCGCCTCTTCCATACCAGCCAGCTTTTCTGGTGAGCAGTAGTTGTCCATGAGAACTTTAGCCATGTCCCTAATAAGTGTAGGCGAAAAAGCATAAAGGACGTTGCTGAAGGCCAACAGGGACACTAAAACCACTAACGCTCGAGCCATTCTGGCCGGTTGTGTAGCTCTGGTGCTGCTGCAGTGCCACGTCCTGTGTCAAATGAGACTCTTTCCACAATCAGGTTTCTTATAAGAGGCTTTTGCAATAAACCTTTAATCTCATTAGCCCAGTTGCTTTGGTAAGACAATAACAGACTAATAATGTATGCACTGCATGTGGCCTAAAATAAAAGATGCTGTATTTGTAGATACGCAACATCTGGAGTGAGGATAAGTCTTTATTTTATTCACTGAGGTGTATGTTTTATTAAAGCATTTCTGTGTGTTGTATAAAAGCATTTATTGTTAGGTAAGCTTAGAATCTATTAAGCCTAATAGGGGTTAAAGCTATTTCAGGCTTTAGGAGCACAATGTAAACATTATTTGTTAGTTTTATGTAACAGTTACATGCAGAAAAAGTGGTAGAGCTATAAAATGTATGTATTTCTGCAAGTGGGATCTATCTATGGAAGCCCATTCTGACCAGGTAGAGGAGAAAAGATCAGGTGTTTTCTTCTTCTCTGTTTTCGGCAGGGGTATGTTAAATGTTTGACTTAGTATCTCAAAATGATGACTTATTTTCTCAGAAATTGACTTAGGGTTAAAAAAAATATATGTTTTCTGAAATTATTGACTTGGTACTTTGAAATAATAATTTTCTCAAAATATTGACTTAGTAATAATGACCAAACATGTAAAATTTCAAATGTAAAATAAAGTAAGTAATTATTTCAAGATCATTGTTATTGTTATTTTGACATATTACTCCCAGAAATAGAGAAAAAGAAAAAAAAATGTGGGTTATTTATTTCCTGCCTGACTTGGTGAGAATGGGCTTTCATATACATCAATACAGTCTCCTTTAGGTCTGTACAGTAACATAAACAGAGGATTCTCAAATTGTCCATAGTCCAACAGGATGTTTTACTTGTGGACAGTGACGTTAATGTTCCATTCAAAACCTAAATCTAAATTCAAAACCATTCAAAGTGCAAATAACAATACAGGAAATAAATAACGTTCTGGAAACACTTTATTGTGATGGTCCTTAAATTCAAAATTGAAAATAATTACATAAAAATATATATATTTTTTTTATCACATTAACAAGATAAATAGCTTTAAAGACAAAGTGTGTTTTATTGTCTTTCTTTCGAAGTTCATTAAAACACAGACACAAACAAAACGTGTTCAGTGGTCAAGTGAAGAAAAGTGCAAAGAACGATTCAGAAAATAAAAGAACATTTAGGAAACATCGTATTTTGATGGTCCACAGACGCCTCGTCGGTGGGCATTCCACAAATTTCCTCTCAGATTTTTGCATAAATACATGATTAAGATAAACAGAGTCATTCAGAGCGGTTTAATGTGAAATCTCCATTCTAGAGAAACTTACTTAGTCACAGTGTTGGTGATAATGGTGATTAAAATGTCTATATTTGTGTTGTAGTCATGGCGACCCCTGGTTCCTATCACCACCACTGTAAAGACATCTGAACCATTTCACACCAAACCACTCTGAATCTCTCTGTTTACATCTCACACACTGAGTTATGCAGGAATTTGGAAAAAAAGGTGAATTCCACTCCAACTTACATCCAACTAAATATGTATTAAATTCAATTAAACTCTACTAATACTGTTCATACACTGTTTTCACCAGATAGTTAACAATTTTAACATTTGTAGATAAGCTACACTGCAAAAAGTGATTTTTTTGGCAACTGAAAGCATCTTAAATCTAGTTGATATATCTAATTATAAAGTTGTAATAATAGTAGTATACGATTATTCAGCTTTCTGTGTGTTTTTACTTGTTTAAAGAAATGTATCTAGGCAAACTGTCTTTTTCTATTGTCAGATAATTTTGCATAAAGATAATTTGTCTAGACAAAATGAATCACCTTATAATACTTTTTCAACAATGTTATAATAAGAAATTATATATATATCAACTACATTTACAATGTTTTCATTTGCTAAGTGTACTACCCCCTGCACTACATCCCGGACTCTAATGTCTGGCGTCTTGCAGTAATTAGTCTCTGGGTAACATTCAGAGCGTCGCTCGCCTGAGCCGATACATGTGGCTCAACTCCAGATACGCTCCACACTTTTCCAGTCACTGCACTCAAAACTACCTGATTAGGAATGGAAGCGTAAAGGATGCTGTCTGCAATCTGGTACGTCCCGCTAGAGAGGGAGCCTCCGATCGTAGGTTCCCCAATCACCGTGGCCCTTTTCAGGTCCTGCATAGTCCGAGTGAATGTCTCCGCAGCCGACCCGGTCACATGACTTGTCAGAATATAAACGTCTTTCTTTGAGCCATACCTCTGTCCCAGAACCTCTGGAAGAGTCATAACTTCAGTCATGGTTGTAGTGGAGCGATCAAAAATGGTATATAAGTGCCTCAAGGGTTCTGCCTCGAAGAAGTAGCTGCAGAAGAGTGGAATGGCCGTGGAATAGCCTCCTGTGTTGAACCTCATGTCGATGATCAGTATGTCAGTGTTCACCAGCTTACTCCACACCATTTTGATCAGCTGTGGGCCCATGGCTCTCACAACTTCTATGTCAGCCATCATGTCAAACCTCAGATAGCCGACGTTCCCGGGAAACACCTCCGTTTTGAAGAGGGCCTCAAGAATATAGGCCACTTCCTCAGGCGACGGGATTTTGGGCGGCTTGTGCTGGGACTCTGGTTCAATTTCGCAATAGAAAATGTGAAGCCTGTGGTCACCCGAGGTTTCCTGGAGATCCACAGAGAGCTGAGATGCAAGAGACTCATAATCGACGACTGAGCGATACATTCCCTCTGCCAGCTTGGACTGGAGCACTTGACTGACTTTGGATGCGACCTCAGGAATGGCGTAATGTGTTTCTAAGAGGTCACCTGCTCCTTGCACTAAGGAGTGAATGTTCTTGTGAAACTCTATGATATCATGAACTTGATTGATTGCATCTTCGGCCAGCACTATGGCGTCGGGGACTACACCACCGCCTAGCCAGCATTCACCGTTGTTATCGATGAAGTTCATGACTGGAACAGTAATGAAGATGCCTGTGACTTCAACTTGAAAAGACCTTGAGTGAAGGAGTGTCCCGGACGTTATCTCTCCGATGACCGTACCCCGGTGGAGGGACTGCATCAGGTAGGCAAACTCCTCGCCAGCTGCAGCAGTGTAATAGCTTGTTAACACGTATACTCCCCTTTTGGAACCATAAGAGGTCCCGGTGATGTTAGGTAAAGTATGGAAATCAGTAGTTACGTTCTGAATCCTGTCATAGATTGTGTAGAGATGAATGGTTGGTGAACTGTCATACAGGTAGGAGAGGAGAACAGGCAGTGCTTCTGATGATCCCCCAGTGTTGTAGCGCAAGTCGATTATAAGATTTTCAGTTTCCTTGATCACCTCCCAGACCTGTTCTGCAAGCCTACCAAAGACTGATGATTTGGGGAACCTATCGCAGCGGACGTATCCTATATTTCCAGACAATATTTCAATTTCAAACAACGTGTCAACAAGGTCTGCATCCAGTATGGTTGCATCTACATCTGGGACATCTTCAGTGATGACCAGAACCTCTTGCATGACCCTGACACTTAAACGTGAGTCTTCAGACACAGTTTGCAACTCATAATTCAGTTTGGCTGCTAAGCCCTCCTCAGAAATGACTGAGGAAAAGTCTGTGGTTGCTAGTTGGTTCAGTAAAGCCGGGATCTTGTCTGTGAATGAATAAAACTGTCGGATAATTTCCGATACTCTCTTGACTGCCTTTGGGATGGCTCTTCTGGCAGCCAGCAGGGCCTTGGCCTTTGACAGTGCTTCTCTCTGGTTTGCTGGAACAGATGGTGAAACCCCATTGACCTCCCAGCTCTGGCCTGTAATAGGGCTGGTGGATCGAGCAACAGGGACTGTAACGTAAAAACCTGTATCGTTAATATTTATCTTTTGAACCTTGACTGACCCTCCTGCAGACCTTTCGCCAACAACAATAGCCCTTTTGAGATGCTTTAAAGTGTAGGCGACAGCTTCTGCGGCCCCCACGGTGCGCTTGCTGATTAAAACGATCAAGTCTTTTCTTTTACCGTACCTATCTCCAAGAAGATTTGCCATCGTCCATACCTCCCTAGTTGTGTTAGTGGGTCGGTCATAGATTGTGTCTATGTGGAGAGGTGGGTCAGGGTCTGAGAAATACGAAACAATGTATGGAACACCGGACAACTCTCCTGCTGTGCTGAACCTCAGGTCGAAGATCATCGCTGAAGTATGGACGAGTTTGCTCCAGATGTTCTCGTGGAGAAGACGCCCCAGTCTTGCTGTTGGCTCCTGACCTATAATGCGGTCAATCCTCAGGTAGCCCACGTTGTTATCCATCAGCTCCAGTTTAACTGAATTCCTGATTAGCCGTATCAGCTGTTCTGTGGGGAGAGTCGGAAGAGCAGGTGGCGTGACGGGGACGTAGTTAGGCTCGTACGACACGGTCAGCCTGGGGTCATTGAGTGCACCTTGCACGCCGGTGGTCAGTACAGCCGCAAGTGTCTTATGATCCGATGTGTGCAGGATTTCTCCGCTGTTTATAGCTTGCTGGATTGCCTCCTGCATGCCGATTAGATTCTCTGGGAAGCAGTAGTTGTCGAGCAGAATTTTAGCCATGTCCAGCACCAGGGCAGGTTGAAATGATGCATCAGCAATTAAGACTCGACAGAAGACTGAAATCAAAGCAAACGAAGCTGAAACACTAGCCATGTCTGCTGTATTTCTTCTTGTTTTTACCCATTCATTCAGAGGAAGCAGTTCTTTGTTAGATGAGGCTCTGCTTTCACCGCCAGGTTTTGGACAACAACACTGACATAAGAGGCTTTTCCACCGAATAAACCTTTAATCGCATTATCTTTGGTGCATCAGGAAGACAATAACAGGCAAAAATTGCTGTTTCAAAGTGGAGTGGTGGATAGAGTGTGTTTCAGTAGGTACAAAATTTTAGAGTGACCTAGATAAAGATAACCACAGACCAAGTCAGCAAATCATCAATTGAACAAATCACTGAATTAACCCTGTATTGCACAGTGTCGCCATATGGCAACAGTTACTTTATCTCAATTTCACTGAAAATCAGTAAAATAAAATCTGTGTTTTCCTATTTAATTGTAGGAAAAGGGTCTTTTACTTTGAAAGGACTAATACTTCATGACATTACATGACCAGGAATTCTTATTATGATGTTGTTATTACCATACATTCCAAATACCAATTGAAATTGCATTCATTTCCAATGTTTGTAAATACTGGGTTGTACATTTCACTAAGTATAAGTTGGATTTGTTTGTTCTTGTTTTCAATAAAAGGATGTTTAGATTTTATGGTTCTTTTTTTTATTTTATTTTATGGTGATATGGTACGATTGCGCAGTGTTGCCATATGGCAACAATTTACCAAATACCCCATTTATTTTTTTTATCATGCTTAAGTAATAATTCATGGAATAGAGGGTTAATCTAATATGAAAATGACTTTTGCTTGGATTCCTTCTCATTATTGAGCATTTGTACATAAATATATGTATTTGAGGGATATCACCACCACCGTCAGCACGAGTGATGACATCAATCTGCAGTATGAATGAGTTATTACAGCATGACTTTATTTTGGAAGCATCGTCATACACAAAATGCTGGTAACTCTTTATTTTAAGGAACACATTATGGGCATTAATCAATAAACGTATTTAGTAAAGCTATAATTAGACACTTGTAAATACGTTATTAATCGTGAATTTGTTCATTATGACCTGTATTAATACCATTGCATGTACACAACTAATAATCGTATTATTTGCTGGTGTGATGCTCAACAACACTTTCTTATTCTTGTTATGCAAATCACTGAGCATGAATCAATCATCTTCATTTACATCTTATCAGCATATATCTGGCGACAGGTTCTAGCATGGCATGACTTCCAGAGTTTATTACTGAAGAGCTGAGTGGAGTTCAGCATTAAGCAGGTTTTCAGTAGGTCAATTTATGTCCTATATTCTAACGTAAAGACGATTTCTTTGATTTTTAGTACAATTGGAAATATTTTAACTGTGTTTCAAAACATTTTAACAATCAAACATTTGCATGAAAGAGTTTTTAATGTTTTTTTTTCACAGTCTAAATATACAAACACTGAAATTGTGATGCAAAACTTTTAATAGCTCCAAAGTAACAACCTCTAGAAGTCACTTGCTATCTAGAACCTATAGGAATGAAATCCTACCAATTATACACCAATAAGAAGCTCAACAATTCATAAAATGCTCAAAAAATGCATAACAAGGTCAAAGCAAAGTTTTATTGCAACCAATAATGCAATTATTATTAGTATTTTCACTCGAGAGCACCAGTCATGTACTAATGCAGTTAATAATGAGTTAATAACACAGTGAATAAACCATTTAGATGTGAATTCTCAGTTTGTGTCCCTTAAAATAAACGCTTTACACAAAGGTGAGACCTCAGAAACCTCAGTGAACCACAACACTGTTACCTTTGTTTTCTAAGCTGCTCGTACGTCTCCTGTCTGTGTTTTATAATAACGTTGGGGTGTGCTTTAACCACAAACTGAGAGACCCTTGGTGTTTTTTACAAGGCGAAATTACATAACCCCGCCCTTGCTGAATGCTAATTGGTGCAATATACTCTTAATCCAGCCTGATCTTTTAATACCCCTCTCGCTTATGCAATGCTGTCTGCTGATTCTCTGCGGCCAATGGGAGCTGTGAATTTCATTTTAAGGCTTGTGGGGCAGCACTGTGAGCCAGATGGGAGGGAACAGTTCACTCTAGGACTACAAAGAGGACAGAGGAGCCAAAACAGCAATTATGAAAACTCTCAAAATGGGTTGGTGCTTATATCACACCTGAATGTACCTTCTTTATTCTGTATGATGATTGATTTTAAGTATTTATGACATTTCAATATTTGCTTTAAAAGCAAGCTTAAGCTTTGTTCTTTAGCTGTGTTCAGTCCATCCGCAGTCCAACAGTCATATATACAAGTACTGTAGTCTATCACGCTCATAAATCAACTTAAATATAAATGATCTTCCACTCTTCACTCCTATTACTTAAAAAAATCAACCAGTTTCCCAAAATAAGATGTAAACAGAGCGGTTCAGAGCGGTTCAGAGTGGTTCAGAGCGGTTCAGACTGGTTTGGTGTGGAACGCTCTGTTCTAGAGAAACTTACCGAGTCAGAACTGTTCACAGTGGTGGTGATAGGAACCAGACGTCCACCTCTAAAAGCTCCCTCACAGAAAGTTCCTACATGAAATGGTTATGAATTCACTGCCTGATGACTGAGACACTGTTTTATGACAGTTTTGAGAAGATTTTGGACTAAAACAAACAATTATCATTAACATATATATTGTCACTCTCATTTAAAAACCTTCTACCTTAATTTTTGTCTTTTGCATATTTTGAAAGTTCAGTTTAATCTTTGCATTATGTTGAAATTTCTTGATGAATGGGCCAAGAGAAATGGTCCAGAAAATCTTGGAAAAAAAAATCTGGTTACATTAACTTCCATTAAAGGTTTAAAATGTTTTTTCCTTCTCCTGTAAAGTTGCAATTTTGGAGAAGGTTTTGTTCCGACAGTGATGATAGAAAAACTAACTAACCCTAACCCTAGTTCACTGGTGGTTTTGGATAATAAATAAAATGTCTATATCTGTGTTGTAGTCATGGCGACCCCTGGTTCCTATCACCACCACTGTAAAGACAGCTGAACCATTTCACACCAAACCACTCTGAATCACTCTGAACGAATACATCTTGATGATTGGATAAAGCAGAAATTTGGAAAAATGGGTGGAATTCCCCTTCAAGAATAACTGTTTGTATTACTTTCAGTACAGTTACTGAATAAAAAGCCTAGGAAGTTCTTGAAGGTGGCATCACTCCAAGAGAGTCATTTGTGTAACTGTAAATGTTTATTATTAAAATGTTTTGAATATGTTTAAATATGTATTCATGCATCAGAACCATATATGAGACGGTTTGAATCTCACTGCAGTGGCACATTTAGTTCAGTACGATGCTTTTCTCATCCTTCCTCTGGTTTAAATTGTCTGTTAAAGTCCAACTTAATCAGCAGAGGGCGCTATCTGCACATTATACTGGAACCCAAAGTGTTTCAGTTTAGACAGGAGGCTGCTGAGTGCTGAAGCACTGCACTTTTTAAAGGAGCCACATCATGAAAAAGTGAATTTCCTCACTTTTCTGAATAAAAGAGCTTGATATAATATGTAAACATGGTTAAAGTCTCAAAATCTAAACTTTCCATTCACCCTCCAATCCAAATGGTCCACACATATATATAAGTTATTCTACATATTGTCACTATCCGAAAAAAAAGAAGTATGTCCATTTTTGTCATTTCCTGTAATTTGAGAATAACAGCTGCCTTTTACTTTGTGTGAAAATGTTATGATAATGGGCCAATAAAAATGTTAAGTCAAGTCAAGTTTATTTATATAGTGCTTTTTACAGCAGGTGTTGTCACAAAGCAGCTTTACAGAAAAATCCGGGTCCGAGCCCCCATGAGCGTCGCCAATGGCGACAGTGGCAAGGAAAAACTCCCTAAGAGCAAGAGGAAGAAACACTGAGAGGAACCAAGACTCAGAAGGGGAACCCATCCTCCTCTGGACCACACCGGATAGCAAACAGCGTTAGAATAAAATATTAGAATACAAAACGGGAAAAACAGGCGGATCAACGGTTAATTAGATAGTTTGAGTTTATGCAGCAGCAGCAGGAGGGTCAGATCATGAGGGTGAGGTTTGCACAGCGTGAAGCTCCGTGGTGGTCAAAACGGTGCAGATCAGCCAACAGAGATGGAGCTCTGGTGACTCTAGCAGCTCTGGTGGCTCCCATGTGGCGACTCAGGCAGACGTCCCTCAGGGTCTCAAATAGAGGGAGAGAGAGAGAGAGCAAGAGAGAGAGAGAGAGAGAGAGAGAGAGAGAGAGAGAGAGAGAGAGAAGATAGGGAGAGAGATAGGGAGAGAGAGAGAGATAGGGAGAGAGAGATAGGGAGAGAGAGAGAGAGAGAGAGAGAGAGAGATAGGGAGAGAGAGAGAGAGAGAGAGAGAGGAAGAGAGAGAGAGAGAGAGAGAGAAAGAGAGAGACTGATTAACAGGACAGGTCAGTTTATGGAGATATTAGTGAGTTAATAGTGCAGTGGTTTTGAGTCCAGTTTTAAATGTAGAGAGCGTGTCTGAGTCCCAGACAGAGGTCTGTAGATGATTCCACAATTTAGGGACTACGTATGAAAATGCTTGACCACCCGCTGTGGTTATTCTAATTCTAGGAACCGTCAGCAGGCCGGTATTTTGTCAGCAGGCCGCTGTTTTGTGAGCGGAGCGTCTGGGTTCATATGACTGAACTAATTCACTGAGATACTGTGGGGCCTTTTAATGATTTATACGCTAAGAGCAGGATCTTATACTCTACACCACATTTAACAGGTAGACAGTGTAATGATGTGTAACGCTCCAAAACTGCTTATACACTGTCTTTACATTAACTTATATTAATCATAAGAATGTTTTTACCCTCTTCTGTGAAGTTACCATTTCAGACATACTTATTTTTATTTTGATAGCAACAAAATTACTTTCTATTTTATTTCTATTCTATTTTAAATTCAGTGCCTCCGTGATGTCATGAAAACTAGCACGTATACAAGCATACTGCAGTTTAGCTCTGCCCACTCAGACAGTTATAGAAGATTGCTTTTTGAATGAAGCAGCCAATCAGAACAGAGCTCATTTACATATATCGATCTTAAAGGCACAGTAACAGAAACAGCCTGTTTATTTCTAAGGGATAAAGAGGGTTTGGAAAACGGTCATGTAGAAATGAATTGACACTTTTTGGTACACTCAAAAAGGCAAAAAGGGTTCTATATAGTACCAAGAAAGGGTTCTTTGACTTGTAACAAAAACCTTCTTGGTGCTATATAGAGCCCTTTTATATAGAACCATCTACAGCACATTCTCTATCAATCTGAAGAACCATGTCATTATGCAAAGAACCCTTTAATCATGCAAAGGGTTCATGGTTCTATATAGAACCATTTTCTTTACCAAAGAACCCTTGAAGAACCCTCTTTTTAAAAAGTGTAGATAAGTCATACAAATGTCATAAGCGAGCACTTGAACCTCAGTAAGATACAGACTTGTTTCTTAGAACCGGGAAATCACCACACTGTGAAGCCATAAAGAACACAAGGAACGCGTTTATGGGCACAGAAGTCTTTTAATGTGGAACATTCTGCACACATAATAACATAAACACGCATTAACATCACTCATATGGAAAAACACAACAGGCCAAATGTTTGGAAGGTTGGAAGCAACGTTAAATATCATTTTTGACATTATTGTGTTTGTTTAAGCAGAGCGTTGTGTGTGCAGAAAGTGACCGGTACAGGGGAACTGCACCGATTTTTCAAAATTCCTGCATAACTCAGTGTGTGAGCTGTAAACAGAGTGGTTTGGTGTGAAATGGTTCAGATGTCAGATGTCAGATGTACAGTGGTGGTGATAGGAACCAGGGGTCGCCATGACTACAACACAAATACAGACATTTTATTTACTATCCAGAACCACCAGTGAACCTACACGAGTCTTCTGAGTTTACATGGAATGTTGATGATGGAAAATAGTGGAAAATCTGAAATAATAAGTTTTCTTTGGGGACTATTTTGCCTCACAGCGCCCTGCATGTATCCCTCCACCATGAATGGATTTTTTGAAGAGCCAAAATCTTCTCCTTTAATGAGTTAAGGTGGAGTTTTGTTGGAGCTCTAATCAGATCCCGATTCTGTTGCTTTGGTTAAACCAGAGTCATAAACAGGTCATAAACATGTTGTGTGGTGTAAGCTGTTGTTAAACTGACTTTATTGTACAAACGTGCTTCCATGCTTTGGCCTGTAGCGCATATAACAGTGATGTAACCACAGAATTCTATTATAAAATACAGAAAGGCATAAATCATATTTCCTATTTACATGTTACATGAGAAAGTACAGTGTAATTACAGAGAAAATGGAAAAAAGAGTAATAATTGAGTGTTGACTGATGAATAACATCATAATGCTGTATTTATTAGATTTGTACAAGCATTCAGATCACTTTAATATATGTTAATGTCTGTTTTAATATTATGCATTTCAATACAACCAATATGCTTTCTTTTAATTAAATAAGTAACCTAGTTAAAGGGCAAGTCCAGCCTAAACTACATAGGTTAACATGTTGCTTTGTCCTGTTGCTCTGCAAAAAATGGCATCTTGGCAAGTGAGTTTATCTCATTATAGTGGCAGAACAAGCAAAACGATACAGTGTAGACAGTTTAACTGGATAAAATGACTTTAAACAAGTACAAAATATCGCGAAATAAAGGGCATAATCTTATAATACCCTCACAGCAGTCTCAACATGAGAAATATTAGAGGTATTGATGAGATTTAAGATCATTTCACTTCACAGGATGCTGTGTTTTGCACCGCCAGTCGCTTCAGTTTGACAGAATTCACAGTTTTGTTTGTTCTGGTCCATATTTTCTCACTACAATCCCCAGCATGCCATACATGTATTACAAAAAAGATACCTTGGCAAGTGAAAGCATCTTAAATCTATTCAATAAATCTAATATATATTATTTTGAAACATTTGGGAAGTATTATAAGATTATTTAACTTATTTTAAAGGGCATTTACATTTTTCTTCTCTTATCTTTTTTGTCATAATGACCATTTTCCAACTTTTCTTTATCCCTAAGGCTGTTTTAGTTACTGTACCTTTAAGACTGGTATGTAAATGAGCTCTGTTCTGATTGGCTGCCCCGTACTGCGTGTTATTAAAAACAGTCCAGACTGAAACACTCCTTATAACCTCAGTGTGAGTGGGTGGGGCTAGGCTGCTGTAGGCTGAATAGGAGGATGTATGTAAATTAGTTTGTTGGTGTGACATCACAAAAACAGCGAATTCAAAAGGGGCCGTTATTGAACTTATATTGAGCTTTAACAATTTTTGCATAATACTTGCAAAAAAAGCTAAAGGATCGGCCAATAATTAGACAATTTTACTGGATAAAATGACTGAAAACAAGTATAGAAATATACATAATACAATATATATATAATATAATATATAAATAAATACAGACGTGGTAGCCAGTCTTCTATATCTCTGCATTAGCCAGCAAGCGGGGGAAAAACATGAAAACAGTCCACCCCAAAGCAGTAGCTTTTCCAAAGCTCCTCCCACCTTCAGGATACATCATCAAAAGGCGGGGCTTAGTCTTTAAACTGGAAAAACTCTCTCTAGAGGCGACTGGAGCACCACTGTAGAAGCTGAGCAGGCTTGTTTACAACAGACGCAGCCATGGTCAAACTTGTCGTCCAGGCCAGAGTGACCCTTTAAGAAGGAGACGTGGTGATGTGGTCATTATCTACAGCCGCATTTAGCCACTTTCATCTCCTCGTACAGGTGCCGCACGGTGATGACGCCATTGTCCTGGTACATGACCGTTATGGGGTCCAGCTTTGTTGGCACACAGCAGGCCTTGTTGGCTTTTTTGGGGTTGCTCAGGTGCATCAGAGTTTGGATGATGGCGTGTTTGGAAGGGGTCACGTCATTGGTCAGGGGGAACGAGCACACCCCTTTGCATTCATAGGCTTCGTACTCGGGCGGAGCCACGATCCACTGGTCCCAGCCGATGTCCTTGAAATTCACCCTCAGCGAGGTTCTCCGGCAGTAGTTCCTCTGCGCCTGCCTCTTTCTCCTCCTGGGACGCGGGTCCAGGTGGACCTCGCCGTCGTATTCCTCCAAGGCGTCCACCTTCAGCAAAAAGCTCTCGTCTTCATGACTCATCACCTCCTTGGCCTTGCTTTTGGCCTGCCTCTTCCTGTTCTCGATGTCGTCTGAGAAGACGATCAGAACCGGTGAGGTGCTGTCCTCCGGATTCAGGCTGATGTTGTAACCACCTCCTTTAAACGACCCGCAGCCCCGACGTTCTACCTCAACCTCTAGCTCACCTACTCCGCACCTCGATTTGAGCCAGCCGTGGACAGCGCTCGTTACGTCAAAGGCCTCCCAAGTGGGCTCTGGGTCACTGAGGTCTCTCTTGTCCAGAAGGCGCAGGTTCTCCTGGCTCTGCTTGTGCACCACGTCGTAAACGCTGATGGAAGTGAAAGCGTCGTCGCAGGCCGTTTGACCTCTTTCCCACAACGTGAAGAGTCGCAGCTGCACCATAGTGACCTCTTCGAAATGAGGCACTGAAACATTGAACAGTAGCCTGTGTGCCGTCCTGTTTTCGCTCGTAGCTGATTGGGTCACGTCTGCAGAGAAATCAGAAAATTACTTTGGTTTTGTATGTAGAAACAACTAATTATGTGTTTTATTTATATGGCAGAAAAGATCTATCCAACAGTAGATTATAGCGCGAGATAAATATAATCTGGGTTTATTTGCACTGTTTGTTTAATAGAACCTGGGATTATTTTTATTGTTAGTGTTATAGCACAGGAATAACATGACCTAGGATTATTGTACTGTTTGTTTTATAGGACAGAATTAAAGTGGGAGTTTTTTTATAACATAGGATTAATATAAACTGGGATTATTTCTGTGGTTTGTTTCATATCATGGGATTAATATAACCTGAGATTATTATTACAGTGTGTTTAATATCATGGGATTAATATAACCTGAGATTATTATTACGGTGTGTTTAATACCATGGGATTAATATAAACCTGGGATTATTTCTATAGCTTGTTTTACAGCACAAGATTAATATAACCTGTGGTAATTTCTATGGCTTGTTTTATAGCATGAGATTAATATAACTATTATTATTTATACAGTGTGTTATTGAATTAGATTAATTTAACCTGGGATTATTTCTATGGTTTCTTTTATAGCACGAGATTATAGCACAGGATTAATTAAACCTATGATTATTTCTATGGTTTGTTTAATAGCACAGGATTAATATAACCTGGGATGGTTTCTATAGTTTGTTTTATAGCATGGGATTAATATAACCTGGGATTAATTATGTGTTTTTAACAGCACAGGATTGATATAACCTGGGGTTATTTCTATTGTTTGTTTTGTTGCATGGAATTAATGTAATCTAGAATTATTTCTATGGCTCAGTTTCTAGCATGGGATTTATATAACATGGGATTATTTGAACAGTTTGTTTTATAGCGCTAATCCCATGTGAATAGTAATTAGGCCTGCTGTACATAATTTTCCCTAATCTAATACCTGATTGAACTCATTAGCTAATTATCCCGCCAGTGGTGGTCCTGCGGTGGTCCCTTTCCAATGGCAGTGTAAAGGGCAGCTGACGAAATGATGACCAGTCAGTAAGAGTGGATGCAGTGTGGTGGTGCCTAATAAACTGGGTAAGATCTTTACCTTGTAAAAGGAAGCTGCGGATGACGTCGGAGCGCGGGATGGAGGACTTATCCGTAGCGTATTTGTTATAGAGCTCCATCATGAAAGGAGGAGGCTGAACCCTCCTCTGCTCCTGAGGAACCCCTGACAGGTTCAGCATCCTCAGGAAGTCTTCCTTCATGCTCCCCAGAAACCTCTCCAGCCTGGAATTCAGGATGTCCTCTTCGTCCATGTCGTTCTCCAGAGTCTGAGCGAGCTCTACGGGTTTTCCTTTACAAGATCCAGCCAGGCTGAGGCTCAGGTAGAGCAGTAGATATCGAAACCCCTCCATTGTCGCTGGGCCTCGCGCAATATTACGTGACTGTGCTATGTTTTACTCTACGTCTGGATCTCTTTTGAAGGAGAATCATTGACGTTGGGATTCCCAATACGGAAGCCTTTAGTTGTGAGTTCACTCCCATACTCCATACAGTAAACAGCACACGCTCCTGACGGCCAAAATAGCAGCTCGGCTATTCTTATCTGGACCATTGATGCTATTTTTCAAGGTTTGTTATCATTAGGGGGCTTGCAGCTAATGAAGTTTCTGTAAACAGTTGGCCGTCGCTGGGGGGGATAATGAGTGAGACTCTGGAAATGCAAGAATGTTCGTCCCTCTGTGGGGTCAGAATTTTGGGCTGTTAGTTGTAAACTGCCCGCCCTGATCCCACTTTGTCCCGTTGCATATTTGGAGATATTTCTCCAATCAAACTGGAAGAATAAAGAAAATCACCTTCTTGAAGAGACTCTTTTGAGAGTCTCAAAGTGGCAGGAATGCACTGGTCTGTATTTGATCCATGTTTGGATTGATGTGAACACTGGGATTGATGTTGGGTGACTGGGTCTCAGGGCATTGGCCTGTACTCGGTCACTTTGGTTTGTCTCTCAAACAACTCATTAGATTTTGACTGGAGGGGAATCTGTTCAGGGAGTGACTTTAAAGAAAGTCCAAGAATTTTCTAGAAAATAACACGTTATAATATCAGGCAACCTAATAAACATCATAATAAACAACCTAATAAACAACGTAATAAATATCATATACAATAATAAAGGACACTGTTTGAATGATTAACATTTTAATCAGTGATATTCAAATAATACTGGAATTATTTATAGTTGGTTAATAATGATTTAGTTATTTGATACTCAGAACCCAAAATGTTGACATATCAAGTATTTACTTAGTTGCAGAAAAACAAATAATAATAATAATAATAATAATAATAATAATACACCATATTAACTAATATAGTTGTTATTTACTGTATACTTTGTGACATTTAGACATTAATAATCATTAAATGGGCCTCTATTATGGCCATACATATATATATAATATATACATATGTATGGAATGAACATTGATATGTGTATATATTGAACATATGCATCATATATATCAGCAGTATGTCATATATCATCATATATATTAACTTTCTTTCCATGTGAGTATATATATATTTATATATATATGTAGTAGCGTTTATCACCATTAGATAATGATTATATTGCCATTTTTAGTGGCCCATTATTATAAAATTCATAATCTTAAAAGATTAAAATGAGACTGAAGTACACAATGAGTAATACAGGCTAAACTATGATGTAACAACATTATTTTTAGTGTTTACTCACCCAATTTCAGAGTTTTATTTTTTTGTGATCCTTTTTAATGTTATTTTTAAACTGACCAACAGTGGCACCCTGTTCAAAAAGGGTGCATTTCTGAGGAGGTCAGATATGAGATCATCCACTTGCATAAAGAAGGAGAAAGACAAAGTGAAAAAACTGGAGTTTCCAAAATTGGAGTTCAAAACTCCCAACAACCACCTGGAAGAGCTGGTCGACCCCAAAACTGCCCCCATCAGATAAACAGCACTTAAAGCTTTCATCTCTGAGAGAGAGGAGAAAATCAAGCTGCTCAGATCTGAAAACATCCACAGGTGTTTCTGTCCATCCTTCCACTGTGAGAAGACGACTCAGCGCTGTAGGGTCTGAAAGGATGTGTAGCTGATCAAGAAGAACCTCACTGAGAAAAGGAGACGGACACATCAAACAAAGAAGCTGAACGATGGACTGACCACCCCAGAGTCCAGACCTCAACACCACTGAATGTGTTTGATTACTTCAGAAAATGATCAACCAGCTTCTAAGACCGAACTTTGGAGGAGTGTCTGCAGATTCTTTGAGGAGCTGAAAGAGAGTCTCCTGAAGAGAATGGAAGCTGGAATAAAGGTGAAGAGAGACTCACTGACTCACACAGCTGAGAGCAGATTTAGCTGTTTCTGTGTAATATTTTCTTTTAAATGTTTTCTGATTTTTTCTGACTCTGAGAAATGAATAACTTGTACTTAATGGCTGTTTTGTTTGATAATTACATAAATAAATAAATAAAGGGTGGAACCCAAAGAATCTGGAGGATTTTTTGTGCACTCTTCAGAATTTGATGTGCTGCCATCATCACTATCATGCACCTTACTGTACATATTGCACTTCTGCACACCTTATCGCATATCTCCAGTTACAGTTACCCTGTTCTTCAGTGGTCAGGACCCCCATGGACCCTGACAGAGCAGGTACTATTTGGGTGGTGGATCATTCCCAGCACTGCAGTAACACTGACGTGGTGGTGGTGTGTTAGTGTGTGCTGTGCTGGTCTGAGTGGATCAGACACAGCAGTGCTGCTGGAGTTTTTAAACACTGTGTCCACTCACTGTCCACTCTATTAGACACTCCTACCTTGTCAGTCCACCTTGTAGATGTAAAGTCAGAGACGATAGCTCATCTGCTGCTGCACAGTTTGTGTTGGTCATCCTCTAGTCCTTCATCAGTGGTCACAGGACGCTGCCCACAGGACGCTGTTGGCTGGATATTTTTGGTTGGTGGACTATTCTCAGTCCAGCAGTGACACTGAGGTGTTTTTAATACTCCAGCAGCACTGCTGTGTCTGATTCACTCACACCAGCGCAACACACACGAACACACCACCACCATATATATTATATATTATATTACTGAAAATAATCTAAGAACTCATGACAATGTGCGATATCTTCAATGAAATGATGAATGAATGAACGAAAAGAAGAAGAGAGTGGTTTTCGCTGGTCCAGATATCACATGTTGTCATGAATTCTCATGATAGATTATATTCAGTAATATAACAGTGCCTTATATGACACATGGCATAATGCTTCATGTAAAAAATGAACATGAGACATTAAACCATTAAAACACTGTGTCATCTGTCATGATGGTAACATAGTACTGTTCTATTACTGATCACAATCTGCTATGACATGTATATGCTGTGGTTTTATCAGGGTCATTCTACAGAAACGTCCACTCTTCTGTCTCTCCATAGGAGTCACTGGTGTTACTGATCCTCATTGGTGTTCCACAAAATAAAGGAACACCAGAGACATTTTTAATGAACAGTGCATTTTACTAAACAGCTGCTACAGAGCATCAAACCACATGTTGTCAATCATGGAAAATCCACTAAAATATGGAATTTAATCCATTTGTGTTCTATTTTTTCAGTTACCTCAGAATAAAGTCGGTCACACCAGTGACTTCAGCTAAAAGCTTCATATGAAATCATGAGCTAAATGAGAAAATCTCTGATAACTGAAAGACTCAGTGGACTCACCATGAGCTTTTCTTCATAGATCCTCAGAAAACAGGTAAAAGGAAGTTGAGTGATGTCATCAGTGTGACTTTTATTTCAAAATAAGAGGTTTTTTGTTACGCAGTAACACCAGTGACACGACTCCTGGGGACAACAGCTTTCTTTATATATTTTATAATATTTATTTGTCATTTGTTTTCTTTATGTCATTTAAATCATATATTTCATAGTCATGTTTAGATTATTGCAGTTAAAATAGCACAAAAACATGTTTTTTACTTCAAAATATGTCCTCAGCCTTCACACATGACTGTGAGGACGAGCTCTTCTGTGGCGCTTGGATTCTAGATGATTGATTTAAAAACCAATATTGCTGAATTGAGGCTCAGGAAGGTGTAATTAATAAAATAACTTATTGTTTTATTTTAAAATCTAAATAAATAAAAAAACCCTAACATGTTTTTAAGTGTAATATATCTGTAAATGCTGGCGACACAAAAATGGAAGTTTCTGTAGAATGACCCATCAATGTTACGCAGTGCTTCAAGTAAAGCAGTTACCAAAAAATGTAATGTGTACATTTTCTGTTGTTGTTTGTGCTTCAGTAGAAGCTGCAGGGTGTGTCTCATTTAAAGGACCACATCCTTTCCAGCATACTCAGCGGCAGCGATGTATGTAGGAGCCTCCTCTGCAGCTGGCACCAAATGATGTGGCCTATTGAGGATTCAGAACTGCAGCAGCAACACAACTCCTGAAGATCCGATCAGCTGTGAGGCTGTTTGAGGTGTTTGAACAGTGAGGAAGTGCTGGGGAGGCCCTTTTTTAAAAAAAACTAACATAGGCTGAAATTAAACAAGACTTATCCCTGTTGCAGCTTTTTTTTTAATTAAGAGACCCATTTTGGGTTCAGCTGTAGTTTTGCCTCCCTCTTTGTTCATCCTCTTCACTAATGTACTGACCTTTTGCTTTACATGCTTAAATTAATGCAAGCAAAACTGATACACTGACCACTAAGCCCATGTAAGATAGAAACATAGCTGGTCGTCCGTATAACAACATCATTCAAAACATCTGTGTGGTAAACTGGTACTAATTTTCACAACAAATGGGGCAACATACACTGGACACAAGTATTGGGACACCTACACATCACACCTACAGGAGCTTTTATGAATCCAGTTCTAAATCCATAGGCATTAATATGGAGTTGGTCCCCCTTTGCAGCTCTAACAGCTTCCACTCTTCTGGGAAGCTTTTACAAGATGTTGGAGAGAGTCTGTGTGTTTCTGCTCATTCATCCAGAAGAGCATTTGTGAGGTCAGACACTGATGTTGGACGAGAGGGTCTGGCTCACAATCTCTGTTCTAGTTCATTCAAAACGTGTTTGATGGGGTTGAGGTCAGGACTCTGTGAGGGTCAGTCAAGTTCAGCCACACCAGACTCACCCAGTGAAGCCTTTATGGAGCTGCTTTGGGCACTGGGGCTCAGTCATGCTGGAACAGGAAAGGTTCTTCCACAAACTGTTCCCACAGAGCTGGAAGTGAACAACTGTCCAAAATGTCTTGGTCTGCTGAAGCATTAAGATTTCCCTTCACTGGAACTGAGGGTTCTAGATCAACCCCTGAAAAACAGCCCCATATCATCATCCCTCCTCCACCAAACTCTACAGCTGGCACAGTGCAGTCAGGCAGGTAACGTTCTCCTGGCACTCTCCAAACCCAGACTCGTCCATCAGACTGACAGATAGAGAAGCTGATTGGTCACTCCACAGAAGCACGTTTCCACTGCTCCAGAGTCCAGTGGCGGCGCTTTACTCCACTCCATCCGACGCTTGGTATTGTGCTTGGTGATGTAAGACTTGAATGCAGCTGCTCAGCCATGGAAACCCTGCCATGAAGCTCTGGGTGCAGTTTCTGTGCTGATGTTGATGCCAGAGGAGGTTTGAACTCAGTTATTGATCAGCAGAGCGTTGGTGACTTTCATGCTCTGTGCTCCTCAGAACTCGGAGACCCGCTCTGTAACTTTACATGGTCTGACACTTCGTGGCTGAGTCACTTTGGTTCCTAAACGCTTCCACTTTTCCAAAAACACTCAGAGTTGATTGTGGAAAATCTAGGAGGAAGACATTTCGCAAACTGACTTGTTGTACTGGTGGCATCACAGCACCACACTGGAACTCAGTGAGCTCTTTAGACCCATTCTTTCACTAATGTGTGTAAAGGCAGGCTGCATGGCTGGGTGCTTCATTTTATACACCTGTGGCAATGAGACTGAATGAAACACGTGAATTCAGTGATTAAGAGGTGCGTCCCAATACTTTTGTCCATGTTGCATACATTTAAAAACTCCTGCGCTCCCCCAAAAGTGGATCTGCTCCTTTATCGTATTAGCCTGCGACACAGAGGGAAGTCAGGGCCAAGGAGGATACATCTGTGCTTCCCCAGAATTCGGTTGAAAGATGGACGCATTTCTTGGCCGGGTTCCAAGGATTCTCTGCATTCTTTTGAAGTGCTTATGACGTATGTGGCCTAGAAATGTGACCTTTGAAGATTCTGTGGAACAATACAGTTATTCCAAAAATGTTTTATCACAAATAGAAACGTTGTACCAAAACTAACAAATATTTTTGATACAGTTTGGCAATTTTATATTTTAATAAAAAGGAAGTGTAAAATCTGAAAATATACAGAGATATCTAAATTAATTCATTTCCTCCATTCTCTAGTAGACACCCACAGAATGCAGTCTCTCCTTTGTCTTCTCCACTGGCTGACCAAACCTGCTAACCTCATACGTGATCCACTAGGTGGCAACATTGCTGTACGAGTCTCATGCACTGGATACTTCTGAACAAATGTGTTTATTACTAGAAAGCAAATATGACTCTTTGTGCCTCGATGAATTCTACCATGTTACGCACACTGTAAGGACACCTTAGTTCTATTTTGAGCCAATTAAAAACTCTTATAAAGATTTAGGAAATTTACATATTACATAGATTCATTTGAATACTGTTTAATTTTGAAATGAAAATGTTAGATGAAAGGGTTAAATTACATTTTCTCACATTTACAACATTTAACAGTTTTTCAAAACCCAAATCAGGAACTGACATTTTCACAAACTGAGGCCACTTCTGATCTGTGAATATGAAGAACTGGCTTTCAAACTGTGTGCACTCTTAGAAATAAAGGTTCTGTTCAGGTACATTTTTCGTTCATCAAGGTACAAACAGTGTAAATGTTCCCTCAAAGCTCCAACAGTGGTTTTAAGGTCTGATTGTGAACCTTAAATAAGTGTTTCCAGGTGAAAAGTTCGTATTTGTACCTTTTCATAACCGAATGTTTTAAACAGAACAGTAAAATAAAAGCCTGGAGACGAGACGGGGTGTGTGGAGTCAGTACAGCTTAGAACATATCATTTCAGTGGATTATGGTTCAGTTATGTTCCCTGACTAAAGGTACTGAGATGGAGCCTTGAGGGTTCCACCCCAGTGATGAGAGGGGAACCACCCCAATGACAGTTTAGAACCTTTATTTCTGAGAGTATTTAAGTAGCTTCACATTATGTGGAGGTTCTTCAGTCTTTAAAAACATTTGTTCTCTACACTGACCAAAAATAAAGGTTCTGAAAAGAACCGCTTTTTAAGGGATGGTGCTTTCAGAGAATTTTTGTACATGAGATGTGTGAGTGTGAAGAAACTTCATGGGGTCAAAGAACCTGAAAAGTGGTTCTTCTGTGGCATCGCACAAAGAATCGTTTGTGGCACCTGTTTAAAAAGAACATAGGCAACCAAAAGTGGGTCCTGCACAAAGAGCCACCCCAATAAAATGTACATCATATATATATATATATATATATATATATACGTCATGCCTGTAATTAAACTTTGAAGACAAGTTGTGGCTCTGCTTTCATCATGTTCTCATGAAATGTTTCTCATCGGAACATCATTCGGCCTGAATCACCAACCGTCCTTAAGAAAACATTTTTTCTGAAAACCCACTTTTCACAGTAACACTTGACTTGAAGCGTGTCTACATAACACATTCATAACACCTTACATAAACACTTCATAACATGTTCATGAATATTTAAATCAATATTCATAAAGCATACACGTTTTACATGATATTAATATGAATTACTATGTCATTTTACTGAGAGGCATTTTTCAAAATAAAAGTCCTCCCTTTTTATTTTGAAAAACTATATTTTTTTTTAGTTAAGTGCCTCATTTCTGCACAGCCAAAATAAAAATGATGTTATGATGTTATGAATGTGTTATGTAGACACTCTTCAAATAAAGTTACCATTTTGATGAAGACTCTGACTCACCAATGTTCTCTTATGTAGGATTTGTTCTTAATTGAGAATAGAATCTACAAACACTGAAGAGCACAAAGGTGAGAACAGTTCTGCTTTTTTCTTAGAACCTTTCTCAAGAACACACTTAAGAACAAACTTAGGAGGATATTGGAGAAGGAGAACCGATGAATTCTGGTTATGTTGCTACTCTTTACAGTTGGTCACTGTATAAATTACAACGGAAACCCAAAATGGTCATCCGTCTGATTTTGTTGTCACAGTTTTTGAGGTTTTTAGGTCTTGAGTGTGGTCAGTCACTGAATAGTGTGTCTGAAGTTGTTACGTCTGAGCAGCGGACGGCGTTTCTCGCCTCGAGCAGTCAAAACATCGGCAGGTTTGTCCATTTTCTCCTGTAGAGTTTGTTTTCTGCCTCATCCTCGTTTCCTTATCGGCAGGCGCAGGTGTCCACAGACATGCTGGGGTAGACCTTCAGCACCATGTTCCTGCTGGTGTCCAGGAACAGCACGGCTAGTGGGCTCATCTTCTCAGGGACGCAGCAAGGCTCGGGAACTCCGGGGACGATGCCCACAGCCCTCACGATGCTCTGGATGGTGGCATGATTGGAGGGATGGACGACCTACAGATGGAGACAGAGTCAGAGAACTGTTTACAGAGAACTCACACTGCAAAAATGGAATATTGGCAAGTAAGATTATCCTCAATCCAGTGGAAATATCTAATATTTCTCATGCTGAGATTATTGTAAGCTTATTCTAAGGTTATTTAACTTTTTTAGAGACATTGTCTACTTTTTTAAGCCTTTTTATTTAGAGAAATGAACTCACTACTTTGGCAGGTAATTTTGCTTATTTTAAGAAAGAAACAAGAAACAAGAATTTCTCTAAATTACATTATTCAAAACAAGTAATAACAACTGAAAATAAGTGAAGCAACTTAGTCTACAGGCATCATATCAGCAGATATAAGATGATTTCATTGTACACATTATATCATTTTTACTTTTTCTGAAAGAAAGCCCAGCAGTATTCCGGTATTCTGAAACCTAAAGAATCTCTCAGTAGATGTTTTATTGGAGAACCACTTCTGTAACTAAGACATGTGAGTGCAAAGAACCTTTTTAAAGACCCTCTCTGTATTGGATGGCTTCTAGGGCCTTGGTACAGAACCTTAAAAAAGGTTCTTCACATCTCCTTCCCAAACACGCTTCTCTGGGAACCAAAGTTGGTTCTTTAGAACACTTTGTGTCACATTTTTAAAGGGTGTAGCAGCGATGATCTCATTACATATACGCTAAAGGTTCCTAATTGGTCCTGACTTGAATGTATGGTTCTAAAAAAAAACTTTAACTGGTGTTTTATGGAGGTTCTCTACACTTTAACAAAGTTTCTTCACACTCACATCTCATTAACACAAAAAAATGGTTCTTTAAAGAACCATTCTGTGACAGTGGTCCTCAAACTGAGACGGTCCATATTTTTGCTCTAACATTAATTCCAATATAGAGAAAAAGTGTAGTCCATCTAGAGGTCCCTGAGGACTGTTCTACGTTATTGATCCAAAGAACCCATTTCAGCACCTTTATTTTTAAACTGATTTTTCAGACATTCTACTTCAGTGTGTGAGATGTAAACAGAGTGATTCAGAGAGTTTTGGTGTGAAATGATTCAGATGTCTTTACAGTGGTGGTGATAGGAACCAGGGGTCGCCATGAACTACACCACAAATATAGACATTTTATTTACTATCCAGAACCACCAGAGAACCTACACGAGTCTCGTGTGTTATATTCAATATTGATGACGGGAAAATAGTGGAAAATCTGAAATAATAAGTGTTTTTTGGGACTACTTTAGCTAAGAACACCTTGCATGTATCCCTCCACCATAAAAACGCTCTTTAGAACAAAAATCTTCTCAAAACTATCATAAAATAATGTCTCAGACATCAGGCAGTGAATTCATAACCATTTCATGTAATAACTTTCCATGAGGGAGCTTTTAGACGCATCAAACTCTTCAGACCATCATCAATATAGCCACTCTGAAAACCACCACTGTGAACAATCCTGACTTGTTAAACTGCTCTCGATTGAACCATTTCATATCGAACCTCGCGGAAAGACTTTGTTCACATCTTCACCATTTCATTATACAGAAATTTAGAACGTTCCCCTTTAAGACCGCATGCTTCCACTTATTCCCACCAAATTTCCCCCACTTCTGACAGATGTTATGGGCTGGATGTCTGGATAAAGCTCAGGTTACGCTGTCAGTGGGAAAAACATTTGTATTCACCCAGAAACCTAGTCTGCACATATGACAGGAAACCATTATCCACTGAGCCTTTGAAGATTGCCCGCTAAGTTAACGTTCTAACCTTGGGCATGGGAAATCCACACGTTCCTGCGCAGTAGTAGGCATCGAATGCTTTCGGGGCCAGTATCCACTCACTCCAGCCTATATCCGCAAAGTCCACCCTCAGGTAACGTCTGGCGCACACTCGAGGCTCGCTCCACTGTTTGCGACGAGCCTTTTTCATGGTCCTCTCGTCAAAGCTCAGCTCCTGAGACGCGCTCCCTTCATTTTTCACCTCGTGGCCGTGGCTCTTGGGCGAGGCTTTGGGCTTTAGCGCAAAGTAAGTGCTGTACCACAGGTCCTTGTGTTTGAGATCGTGGTACTGGACATCAGGAAGAAAGTTGTTCTGCAAATCTTCGGCATTTCTTCTGATTCTGGAGCTCGGAGTGGCAAACGGTGGTCTAGTTCCTCTCCCTTCCCCCACAGGATAAGGGCCGTACCTCTGCAAGCTCATGGCGATGCTGTTGGGCTCGGTTATGGCCAGGTCATTGGCATACACGAGAACGTACGGCAAACTGGGGTGCCGCCACTGGTGCCTTTCACCAGAGTAAAACTCCACGGAAATCAAGAGGTCACTTCGAGCGTGCGCCTGCTGGACAACTGAAGACACATCTATCATCTGCCAAGGTCCTTTTCTGAGAAGGGGCAATGTAATGTTTCCCAAAACAGACATGGAGGCAGAAGTTCCTCGAAGGATTAGCTGCACAGGGGGTGACGACTGCAGGTGCTGGGAGCGGCACGAGGGTCCTCGGGGTCGCCGGCAGCTCCAGGGCCGCTGACGGATGTGCTGGTCGAGGAAGTGCAGGCTTGCGGACAGAATCACCTCTGACTCTGGGATGGAGGTCAGGTTGACATAGAACAGTACCTTGTTGTTGGACGATGCTGAAAAGGAATTTCAAAAGAAAATGAAGCCACAACATCACCTTAAACCTTAAGTATAGACCAACATGAACTGAATAACCGATATTCCACATTTTTCTTGCGTCTTATTTGGTTCCCTGGGGTCCACTTAGGACGTTTGTGTGGGTTTATAGAATGAAAAGAGTCATATTTGAAACTCTAAGAGCATGAGTAGGAACCACTGAGAGGAACCAAGACTCAAAAGGAAAACCCATCCTCTACTGGGCCAGAGTTATGATTTACACTATAGTTCCGAAAGTATTGGGACACTCCTCCTAAAAAGTAATTCCAGCTACTTGCTGACACAGAAGTTCAACACAGCTTGTAAAATCCACGTACACTCTTAAAAAACATGGTTCTTTAGTTCAGACAAGGGTTCTATATAGAACCATGACCAGTGAAAGAAGCATTTGCATGCTTAAATGGTTCGTTGTATGGTGAAATGTTTCTTCAGATTGCTGGAGAAAGCACCAAAAAGAGATCTGCTATTGTTACAAGCTTGACATTGTCACAATAGAAGTATCCTTTTTGGTGCTTTACAGAACCTTACACTATTAGAAATAAAGGTTCTGTGCAGGTACATTTTTCATTTATCAAGGTACAAACAGTGTAAATGTTCCCTCAAAGCTCCAACAGTGGTTTTAAGGTCTGATTGTGAACCTTAAATAAGTTTTTCCAGGTGAAAAGTTCGTATTTGTACCTTTTCATAACCGAATGTTTTAAACAGAACAGTAAAATAAAAGCCTGGAGACGAGACGGGGTGTGTGGAGTCAGTACAGCTTAGAACATATCATTTCAGTGGATTATGGTTCAGTTATGTTCCCTGACTAAAGGTACTGAGATGGAGCCTTGAGGGTTCCACCCCAGTGAGATTTCTGAGAGTGTATACGACACATTCTTCTTCAATCTGAAGGACCACTTCACCATGCAAAGAAGCATTTGAGCATGCAAATGGTTTTTAGAGTGTTCATGGTTCTATATAAAACCATTGTTTTTACAAAAATTGTGATGAGCCATCCTTTTTTTAGAGTGTAGAAAAGCACTGACCAAAACAATGGGATGCTGTGGAGAAGCTACATGTGAACCTTTGGCCATCTCACAGAATGCCTGTCTGTTTGTGGTCTTAGATCTGCAGATACTGACCTTCTGCAAACACTTTCCGTAAAATACCGAAAACATAAAGAGAGACTCTTTCAGTTGTTCTGCTTCTGAACTGTCGAGATCAGTTCACCTTTTATTAGACAGTCGAGCTCAGAGCTCACTTTTAATAAACATCTGAAAATGCATATTTTATTCAAATTTAGCTTTAATCAAAGTTCTGCCTTTTTAATCATCTGCCTGTAAAGTGCTTTGAGCTGATAGCTGCACAGAATGTGGTCTAGAAAGTTTCTTCTTCTTCTTCTTCTTATTATTATTATTATTAATAACAATATTATTACATGCCCAGTGCCAAGCATGGGCTAGAGGGGTATAAAGCCCCCCAGCATTGGGCTGTGGAGCAGTGGAACTGTGTTCTCTGGAGTGATGGAGCTCCATCCAATACCTTTAGGATGAGTTGGAGTGATCCAGAACTGACCATCCAACATCAGTACCTGACCTCACTAATGCTCAATCAAATCCTCACAGCAATGTACAACATCTAGTGTAAAGCCTTCCAGAAGAGTAGAGGCTGTTACTGCAGCACAGACTCACTATTAACACCTTCATTTCAGAGGAAACTCAAATAAAGTCAATTAAAGCCAAAAGCTTAAATATATATTCTTGCAGAAGCAGCAAAAACATGACAAACAGTGTATTTCTATGAAGATCTCACTCTGAGTAGTTCTTAGAGATTTTACAGTGCACTTGATCATCAATGTTCTCCGTATTGTAGCACTAGAAGAACATGTAGTTAGACATCATGGTAGATTTAGAGAATTAACGTTCTTTTGCCTCTGAGATGTCACAGCTGAAGACGGTTAGTCTTACCTGAAGCTGCTCTGAAGCTCCTGACTGTGTTCTCCTCTCTGTGTCTGTGAGGCTCCTTGCTGAACTTTTCATACATTTTAAACATGTTTATTTCCACCATGTCCCTCTCTTCTCCGTCTGCCGTCTCCTGCTTCGATGAGTCCACCAGGTTCACTGTAACCACATCCATAAGCAGAACAGCATGAACGAGAGAAACGAAGATAAGAGCCATGTTGAAGGGAGTGATTGAACTTCTCTTTGTCCTCCAGTTTTTTTGAGGAAATCAGAAAAAGATGCTGAAAGCTCCTCCAGGAGCGCGGATGCTGCTCTGCGCACACTCGGCCGCTTTATACACTTGTTTCCTCAAACTGCCAGAAGCCAAGAGGTAAAAAAAAAGAAAAGAAGTGACAGATGGTGGCTGCCGGCCAATCAGAGTCTACAAAGAGACTGGAGCTGCAGAGAAACTTACCGAGTCTGAATGGTTCACAGTGGAGGTGATAGATGATAAATAAATTCTCAGGCTTATTCTGCCCTTTAATGTAGATACATCAGTATGCTCTACTTTTAAAATGGAAATGCTCCTTCTTTAGAGTCAAATTTGAGGAAATAACTAAGTGATTAATTGTGATTAACTACAGAATTAATACATTTATTCACAATTCATTATTTTATTCTTTGACAGCCTCAATTGTGATACTATGATTTATTACATGGCACTGAAAAAGTTATATTTGTTTTATCTGCTGAACTTTACACTCTTTATTTTTTATTAAAGCCGAAATGTGAAGACTAATCAATAAAAAAACTCATTACATTTACATAATTACCAGTTTTTTCACTCTGAATGATTTTGTTTACAATTCAGCCACTGAATTCTGCAGAAATTTTGAAAAATCGCTGGATGAGCAGGTGTGTCAAAACTTTAGGAGCTATAGCGTATGTTATAGAGGAAGTAGAGAAGTCTGGAGAAGAATTTAGAGAGGATTGAATGAGTCTACAGAGAATCTCCTCTGGAGGACGATGGACACTGTGATCTTCTGAGTTGGCGAAAAGTACAGTAAACTCGTAAGTTATGGAATTTATGGAATTCACCTGCATTATGCCTTATCACACATATTAACTCTATTTGAGTTTGTTTTGCTGCTGAGCCAAATTTTGAAGCTCAATATTTTCCCCCAGAAGCCTGTGGTCAGTGCTGAAAAAGACACGGACAAGCTCTGCGTCTGAGCTCACTGAGCTCACTGAGCCACTAAAACACCTTCAGCTGCTTTTCATGCCGCGCTTTACGTGCATTAGTGTTGTGGTTTTAGCTTTCCTTCCACTTTGAGCAGAAAAAGTCTTTGCTTTTGGCTTTAACGTCTGAATTTGAGCCACTCTGCATGAACAAACATGAACAGAAAGAAAAGAAAAGCAATTTAAAGAATGTGCATTAAAGAAATCAGCTCATTCTTCAGCACCATGGCTTAAGATCTTGCTTCGGCTGGAGAGTGAAGCACAGCTGAATGATTCCGGGGAATTTTATAGGAAGACCGATGCCTGTATATCATCACTGTCCAAAGAAAAACAAGTCCAAAATCATAATTTCACAGGAGAGGGCAAAAACATACTTTACACTCAGTGTAAGTTAATGTAAAGAGATTTTATTCCAAGCAGTTTGAAGTGTTTCTGTTGGTCCATTCATCATGAACTTTTCACACAATGCAAAGAACAGCTGCTTAGTACAAATGTAGAAAAATGAAAGTCACAGAAATGGAAATACTTGTGTTTTGGACAGTGACGATGTGCTCTTCTGAAACCACTGTGATTGTGCTGCAAAGTATTACCTATTTCTTTATCAGTGAAATTCTCAGGGACACCATATTTGCATGATGATGCCAAAAATGCATGTATGATACTAAAATTGAGTGCAACCTTAAACATTCTGCAACATTACAATGTAAAAAAAAACAAGATAAAAAAGATAAAAGAACCCGGGACAACAGAAAATGCTTTTAACCACCATCGTAAAGACACTTGTAACTTTAACTACATTATACCTGGCAGAATATAACATTTTGATGCTGTCAGAAAACTGGTACCCCTTCTTGCTTTAGATCCTACCTGTCTGATGGCTAATAGGGTACATATCTTAACATGTAATTCTTTGAACCCAGATATGTGACGCATGGTGTCCCAAAAGGCTCCGTTCTGGGACCACTCATATTTCCTTATATATTCTGCTGCTAGGTGTGATTACATATACACATGGAAAGAGCTTTCATTGCTATGCTAATAGTCACATAAAATACTTAAACTTGATTCCAGGGATGGATGGAAAAATGACAAGCGCAGGTCTGGTTTTAGACATTTACAGTATGTCTAAATAGATGGCTGCCAAAATGAGGTAAACCAATCGGTCTTCTCTGTTTTTGTCTGAAAATGACAAATACGTCTGGTGCCCTCAGAATCTATTCGTCTTACCTTTTCAGTCCTTTCTTCCCGTTTGACATTATTATATCATTCATTTTTAGTGCCGGATGGAGGGCTTGGACTGAAAGCTCTCCCTCATCCTGCAGATATTTTTGCCCAGGGTGTTCATCTGAACCAAAAGACAGTGTCGGCCATGTTGCTTTTGGCTACTCACCAACCTCGCTCTCGGCTGGTTTTCTTATTGCTGGCTCTGACTAAATGACCGTTTTGATTGATTTGGTCATGGATATCCGAGGGCCATGAAAACCTCTGTTAACTACCGTCGCTCAGGCCAAAACGTCCATACACAGCTCACACAATGTTCGTCAGTGTTTGGCCCTCACCGCGCGCTCTCCGAGTGGTTCACGTCAGGCTCGGGTCGTTTCTGACAGCTCTCATCTCCCCAGAAATTACTGGAGGTCTGTTGTATTTGCATTGTGGGTGTCAGTCATGCCAACAGAGTGGTGGACGGGCCAGAAAAAGAAACTTCCCTTTGAAAATACAATAAAAAAACCTGAAAAATCACTGAGACGGACTACACAGCTCAGCAGGACCTATTTCAGGGTGCCGTCTCAACTCGGAAAAGACTGAAGTTATTACTGATGTTTTTCTGTGTTATTTATTTGTGTTTTTTATTTACTAGGAATGCATAATGACATCAAAATCATATCAGTATCAGCAGATGTTTGCTTTAAAACTGAGACAGATGTTTAGATTTGGCTGATATATATTCCATTTTCAGTTTGTTAGAGAATTCAACATTATAAAAGTAACAAACAAAAGCTGTGCCTTGTGATGTCCTGGTCTAACGCTCTAGCTACAAGCTAACACAACAGCCATAAGCTAACATGTTATTCACAATACAGAGAGACACTGTGATGCAACTGGCTACAATAAATTACACTGTGATACAGTTTGATATGACAAACCACACTGTGATGCAATTCTTAAAAAATATGAGATGCTGTGATACAGTTTCATATAATTCAGTACAATATGATACGATATGATACAATACAATATGATAAACTATGCTACAATACAATACAATATGAATTCTATACAATATGATATGCTATGATACAATACAGTACAATACCACACACTAAGATATAAGACAATACAATATGATAAACTATGAAACAATTTAACACAGTATAATGAACTATGATACAATTCAATACAATACACATTCTATACAGTAGAATATGCTATGATATAATTCAATGCAATTCAATACGCTGTGATGCAATTTGATATGATACAATACACTGTGATGCAACTTAAAACAATATGACTCGCTGTGATACAATTCAGTAAAATGTGACAAGTTGTGATTTATTTATAAAGTGCCTTTCTAAGATCAATGGTTTCTTTACAAAATTAAAAAAAAACAAAAAATACAGCACATTAAAGAAACAATATGATACAGACAAAAAAACTAGACTTAGAAAAGATAATTAAACTTACAGGTGAGATTTTAAAAAAGCATCTTTAATTTTTTTCCATTGTAATAAAAAATGGCTATTAATTGCATCGTTAGTTCATAATTAATTATATCATTCCATTCACATAGTCAGGTTTGACTTTTGATTTTTGCGGCACAAATGCAAAAGATGCTTTTTATCTTTCTGCAGAACGAGGTTATAACTGTTGATCAAATTCATATCATAATGAAATACAAAAACTAATGTGGTATGGACTTTTGTTATCACTGGTTATCAGTGGTGGTTGTATGTGTTAAAGCTTTAGATATTTTAGAGATGGAACCTCGTTCAGATTAGGTTTGAGAATCGATACGTTCTGGAAAGGCTTTTTCCCCTCATTCCTTTCCAGGGGCCTGTTCTTCTCACTAAAGACTGCGAGCCTGCCTGTAGTGAATAGGGCTTTGACCCAGCTCTGCATGCTATCAGCTCTGAGGATGAAAAGTGGATCATCCATCATTAGGATTCAGACGTTTGGGCTCCATAACAAAGGTAATGAGGTGCTCTCAGCGGCCAGAGCCTCGTGGCTCACCATTCCTCCAGAGACCAGCTGCATCTACATCAAACCGACACAATTACCAACAATCGTCAGACAAAATCATCCACTCTCCCAAAATCACAGCTCTGTCTTCTCATCTGCTGCAACAAAAGTTGTAATTTATTGCAATTATTCTGTCATAATAAGAGTTTTGTGCTTTCCTGATGAAGATGAAGTGCACATTACTGGAGGTAAATCTTGGATCCCGTCAGGAAGGCGTCCCAACGACATGAGTGTGATGTATGTGTTACAGATGGCCGTTCTTCTTAGTTTGGCTTGCCGACGTTTTTTAAAATCAGTGCGGTTTTAGGTGCCTCATTAGTCCCTCAAAGAGAAGCTGAACAAAAAGACTGATATTGCAGATGTGGACTGTACATGAGAAATGATTTCACAGGCTTCCTTATCCAACAAGTGCCGGCCAAACCGGCCAACTAAGCGACCGGTTTGTAAAACAGAGGATTTTTAAATTAGATTTGAATGACCAATTACGTAATAACTCATTGGGATTACCTGCTGGTCACTGTAGTTAAAAGTCTTCGGCTGTGGTTTGAGTAATCGTTTTGGTTAACTGAGTCCGCCAACTGAATGTTTGAAAAAAAATAACTGACACGCCTCTCAGCCAATCACAACAGTCTTTAAGCGCTACTTCCTCCTCAAGCGAAGGAAAATATAAGCAGAAACCCTCACAACAAATTTGTAGTGAGAACAGCAGTGGCAGTAAATTAGTCAGAGTAAGAAAATTAGAGTAGAACTAAGGAAAGGTGTTCAAGAGGAGTGTATAAAGCCTGACTCGTGCCATCCTGATCATCTGGATGATGGAGCTGCTTTTATTTTATTCCTAAGGGTGAAAATCTGGGTTAATGTATTTTCTAACTTAACGTAGCTGCTGAAAGTTATCTTGATACATCAGTCTGATTTACAATTAAAGCGTTCAGCGTAAAGA